GCAGTCGAGTGCCTTTGACGAGTCCATCAGGATAGCCCCAACAACAGTCTGTAATGGAAGCAGTCGAGTGCCTTTGACGAGTCCATCAGGATAGCCCCAAGCCCCAAGCTCACAGCGACAGTACGTGAAGGAGGTAGTCAATGGCCTTTTACGAGTCTATCAGGATAGCCCCAACACGGTTCATGAATGAGACATCCATAGGCATTGGACGAGTCCACCCGGATAGCCCCAACAACAGTCCGTGAAGTGGACAGCTAAAGGCATTGGACGAGTCAATCAGGATAGCCCCAACAACAGTCCGCTAAGGAGGCAGTCAAGTGCCTTTAATGAGTCCATCAGGAAAGCCCCAACAACAGTCCGTAAAGGAGGCAGTCGAGTGCATTTGACGAGTCCATTAGGATAGCACCAACAAAAGTCCATAAAGGAGACAGTCGAGTGCCTTTGACGAGCCCATTAGGATAGCACCAACAACAGTCCGTAAAGGAGGCAGTCGAGTGCCTTTGACGAGTCAATCAGGATAGCCCCAACAACAGTCTGTAATGGAAGCAGTCGAGTGCCTTTGACGAGTCCATCAGGATGGCCCCAACAACAGTCCGTGAAGGAGGCAGTCGAGTGCCTTTGACGAGTCCATCAGGCTAGCCCCAACAACAGTTTGTAAAGGAGGCAGTCGAGTGCCTTTGACGGGTCCATCAGGATAGCCCCAACAACAGTCTGTAAAGGAGGCAGTCGAGTTCCTTTGACGAGTCCATCAGGATAGCCCCAACAAAAGTCCGTAAAGGAAGCAGTCGAGTGCTTTTGACGAGTCCATCAGGATAGCCCCAACAACAGTCCGTAAAGGAAGCAGTCGAGGGCTTTTGACGAGTCCATCAGGATAGCCCCAACAACAGTCCGTAAAGGATGCAGTCGAGTGCCTTTGACGACCCCATTAGGATAGCCCCAAACAACAGTCCGTAATAGAATCAGTCGAGTGCCTTTGACGAGTCCATCAGGATAGCCCCAACAACAGTCCGTAATAGAAGCAGTCGAGTGCCTTTGACGAGCCCATTAGGATAGCCCCAGACAACAGTCCGTAAAGGAGGCAGTCGAGTGCCTTTGACGAGTCAATCAGGATAGCCTCAATAACAATCCGTAAAGGAGGCAGTCGAGTGGCATTGACGAGTCCATCAGGATAGCCCAAACAACAGTCCGTAAAGGAGGCAGTCAGGTGCCTTTGGCTAGTCCATCAGAATAGCCCCAACAACATTCCATAAAGGAGACTGTCGAGTGCCTTTGACGAGTCCATTAGGATATACCCATCAACAGTCCGTTAAGGAGGCAGCCGAGTGTCTTTGACGAATCCATCAGGATAGCCCCAACAACAGTCCGTAAAGGAAGCAGTCAACAACCTTGGACGATTCCATCAGGATAGGCCCAACAACAGTCCGCGAAGGGGGCAGTCATGGACCTTGGACGAGTCAATCATGATATCCCCAACAACAGTCCGTAAAGGAGGCAAACAAGGACATTTGACAAGTCAATCAGGATAGCCCAAACAACAGTCCGTAAAGGAGGCAGTCAAAGACAGGATAGCCCAAATAAACTTCTTATCATCCAAGGCCACGCCCCAGCCCTTCAGGAGACGCAGCAGAGTAATAGCTAGAGTAGTCTGGCAACCAAAAGCCACGCACGAAATCAGCAAGAAAATGATGAAATATACGAATAAGAACAGGAAATAGCTGATCATGTAGAATACGTTCAAAAAGTTTTGAAAATGGAAGTATACTAACAGGTCTGCAGTTTTCCCTGTTTAAATACTGCCTTGTTTTAAGACTTTTGCTTGTTTATATTTATCTGGTATTTGCAGTTATTTAGACCATTTGTTACTGGTAAAGATAGATAGTTATATCCACGTTTCAGTACCTTAACAGGGATATCATTAGCGCCATTAGATGTTTAAGAGCATTAGGTACTAGCCTACTTAACAGTCTATTTGAGAAAAGCTAAAACAGTCATGTACAGCGTTTTTCTTCGATAAGTTTCACACTATCACAAACAAAATGATTCTTGCTGTCTAACTTTTTGCCCATATTACTAGCTGATTAGCGAAATGAGAATGGAATATCTTTTCTAATTTCTACATAGTCTCTATCACAATGTTACTAGTTTAGACAATATAATGGACCATCAGGATCCGTTCGGTATGAGGTATAATGTAAGGTAGTACATGTATAAAGAGTAGGGGAGTCAAATGTTACGACAGAAGAAACAGCGTTCAGGAAACATGTTCAATATTGATCAAAAGTTCCACTACTGAGGTATAAAAATGTCACAGTTCGAGTGTAACCTTGATTTAATGGTACTGAGATCGGATGTAAGAAGTGTGGATAATGGCTTGGTTTGGTCATGAAACTCGCACAGCCAGCGATAAAACGTCCTTCACATATATTCTTGTGAAGTTTCGGAATCCAACATTAACGAAGTAGATTCGTATGTTATCATTAGCAGGTATCTACAAAGATTGTAATACAGAAGCATGATATCTAACTAGTATATTCCTTTAAAAAGGGAAATGTATAGGACAGTCGTGGTTTCCTCCAAAGCAGGGCAGGTTATAGTGTTCGTAAACAAGAATCTAGTCATTAGGTGATTTGTCTGCCGACACAACCACGTTGAGTGTGGTTTGGAAATCGAGTTTGTTTGGTTTTTCGTTTTAGATTTTAAACTGCGAATTCTTGTAGAAATTAAGGACCTGATAAATTCATCGAAAATATAACAAATTAAAAAGATTTCACTTTCCAGATGTTTATCCACCAATTTCTTCAAATATATTCGATTTGAAGAAAAATTGTCCAAATGATGAACATGTATGACAAACATGCACTAATATAACGCGAATGAAAAATAGACATTTGCCAAATATTTGTCTGAAAAAATACAATATTCTTAGTATAGTTTAGTTTCAGTGTTTGGAAAGAAGATGGGATAGAGTGTCAATCAATATTATGTAGTTCAGCTCAAGTTCATGTAGTTTATTTAGACCTCACCAACCATACAATCTGTTTACATTTACAATGTATCTGTACAATTCTACAATGTATCTATACAATTGTACAATGTATTTATACAATTTTACACTGTATCTATACAATTGTGCAATGTATCTATACAATTGTGTAATGTATTTATACAACTATACACTGTATCTATATACTTTTACTATGTATCTGTACAATTCTACAATGTATCTATACAATTCTACTATGTATCTATACAATTGTACACTGTATCTATATACTTTTACAATGTATCTGTACAATTGTACACTGTATCTGTACAATTGTACACTGTATCTATATACTTTTACAATGTATCTGTACAATTCTATAATGTATCGATACAATTGTACAATGTATTTATACAATTTTACAATGTATCTAAACAATTGTGCAATGTATCTATACAATTGTGTAATGTATCTATACACTTGTACACTGTATCTATATAATTTTACAATGTATCTATACAATTGTGCAATGTATCTATACAATTGTGCAATGTATCTATATAATTGTGTACTGTATCTATACAATTGTACAATTTATATATATAATTCTACAATGTATTTATACAATTTTACTTTGTATCTATACAATTGTGCAATGTAAATATACAATTGTGTAATGTATTTATACAACTGTACACTGTATCTATATACTTTTACAATGTATCTATACAATTGTACAATGTATCTAATGAATCTATACAATTGTACAATGTATTTATACAATTTTACAATGTATCTATACAATTGTGCAATGTATCTATACAATTGTGTAATGTATCTATACACTTGTACACTGTATCTATATACTTTAACAATGTATCTATACAATTGTGCAATGTATCTATACAATTGTGTAATGTATCTATACACTTGTGCAATGTATCTATACAATTGTGCAATGTAGCTATACAAGTCTACAATGTATTTATACAATTGTGCAATGTATCTATACAATTGTATAAATGTATTTATACAATTCTACAATGAATTTATACAATTTTACAATGTATCTATACAATTCTACAATGTATTTATACAATTTTACATTGTATCTGTACAATTGTACACTGTATCTATATACTTTTACAATGAATCTTTTACAATTCTACAATGTATCTATATAATTCTACAATGTATTTTACGATTCTACAATGTATCTAGCGGCTGTCGTTTTTAAATCAGGATAGCCACATATGTTACGTTAATTTCGACAGATAAACGAGACAATATTTAACATCCGTACAAGTTTTACAGAACTATAATATGTAAATTGTTCAATTGAGTCAACGAAAAGACTTCAGAATAACATCAATAATTAGATAAGCAACCATTTATTAGCAAACAGACTAAATACACACTTGCTTGCATTGATAAACAGTTGTTTAAGTGATTATGGTACGACACGTCCTGTTCACACACTTTACATTCATTTTAACAGCAGGAGCCTTTTCGTAAATGCCCAGAATATACTTATGAAGTACCAAACTCAACAACAAACATCAAACTTTGTTTCTATTGCAAAGTTATTTATCTAACAAGATTGTGTACAAATACAATTATTCACATCCGTAAAAGTTCCCGTGTGTAACTTCTTTCACAACATGTTGGTACGAAATGAAACAGCATCGACTTCTCACTTTACAGATTACATCAACAGGGTCAATATTTAAAAAAAATATAACCGAAGCTTATTTGCCTGGACGTGACCGGATATCTTTCGGTGCATGGCTGGTTGTAAAGCTCGTTATCTTTGTGTTATAGTGTACTGCGCTGATCATGTTGTTCCTAGTGCATATATATCGTAGTCAGAATTAGAGGTCCAGCTGCTGACTTGATTTTCTTTTGAAGACAAATAGCAGTATTTCCACGCTTTTCGATATGAAAATAAGTTACATGTGAATTTCTTTTCCTCAAAGCAAAATTTAGCACACTGAAAATAGACAAACATTAAACATTATCATAGTGAAGAAGCATCTTGTATACTATTAGTACGGTGTTTGTTTGTTCTGTATGCATTACAGTAGGGATGTTTAAGTTAATAACAATCTACCCAACTTGTACCTCTGTTCACTACTACCAACAACTAATACTTCTATTAATACTACCTCCCCCACCCCCTCTTCATCATTCTTCGTAATTAAGAGTACACGCTTACAATGCGCGTTTGCTATAACAATTTACAATCTATCTGCTAAATTCGGAATAATCTTGTCACAGAAAACCAAATACCAAATAAGCATTGTTTGACTCACAAGTTCTACAGGAATAGTACCATATGTCTGTCGGATCACAGCTGTCGTTGATACATTTTCACTCTTGGTGAACTTTGGTAAAATGTAATCTGTAATAGAAAACAGAAATGTACACGTTTATAGCGAATATTACCCATAAAATGTGAATTAAAGCTCACGGTTAAATCATTACAGTAGTTATATTTGTCATTTAATCAGGTAGAATGTTTAACGAGTACGTGTTACTCAGTTGCATTCATAAGACGATTCAGACAACAATGACTGCATAGATATATCCTAATTGTGCTAAGATCGGTTAGTGAATTTAATAACCTATTATTAAGGTAATGCTATCAAAGCTTTTGACGACACCTAAAGCCTAAAACATATGAAAAACATATGTAAATGAATGTTTAGTTACTGCATCTCGTTTCGTCCTCCGATTGTGCACAGTCGACTTCCCCATCACACTGGAACATGGACGATATGCACCTGGAATAACAACACAGATAAGTTACATGGTAAATATACAACATGGCACGTACTCAACAAGACGGTAACACAAGAAAGTTCAGTTGAGGATGACGTTGCCCGTCTTACCTGCCTTCTGTACTCTTATGACAATGGAACTGACCTCGTGGACACTCTTGTACGACAGGTCCTAAAACATTTACCAAATAGTATAGTTAACACTGCGACGTCATATGGTGTAAATGATATGTTGCAATTAGAAATGGTATACTTACCTGTTTACACCATAGAATACAGCAACATTTCAAATGGTATAACGAATTTATTTGGCCCTAAAATACAATGATGTCGATAGATACAATCACTTCCTTATACATAAACATCGGGATTATTTTTAATCATATAATACAGGGATCATATAATACAGGGATCATACATGGATCATACAGGGATCATATAATACAGGGATCATATAATACAGGGATAATACAGGGATCATATAATACAGGGATCATATAATAGAGGAATCATACAGGAATCATATAATACAGGGATCATATAATCCAGGGATCATACAGGGATCATATAATACATGGATCATATAATACAGGGATAATACAGGGATCATATAATACACGGATCATACAGGAATCATATAATACAGGGATCATACAGGGATCATATAATACAGGGATCATACAGGGATCATATAGGGATCATATAATACAGCAATGTCAATTTAATGGGGTCTTCCATTGATGCTAATTGGTATTCACTTCTTCATACATAAACCATAGAATAAAGAAATGCCAAATGATGAAATAAACATTCATCGACCGTACAGAAAAAGGTCAGAATCTAGCAAGGGTTAAAATGATCAGCTTATCTTCACTGATAATGGCTATAGGGTGATGCAAACACTTTATTGTTTAAATCTCACGTAATTTAGACGTCAGGTTTATATGACACAGTGGTATGGCACAATATGCAAATTTATCCGTAGTGACGTTTGTCCAGCACCAAGGCCTGACGTCACTGTCTGGGTTTCTACACCAGTTGTGGTCACCGAGTCCCTACAAAGAAACGGTATTTAAAATCAGAATCACACTCGCCGATAAAACAAGTTACCTCACACATTCTGACAAGTTTACATGACGACTTCACGTTAAGGTTAACTTTCCTTTCGACTGAAGTAGCATACCGTCCTCACTGATTCACCAACATACAGTCTGTTTTAATTATCATGAGTTTACATGTCGTCGCAGTTGATTCGATATTCTAGAGTCTGTCCATGATCGGAAGTTTAGCAGATTTGTTATTCTAGAGCCTGTTCTGAGTATCAGGAGTTTAGAAGTAACAGTTGAGTTGTTAGTCTAGAGCCTGTTCTGAGTATCAGGAGTTTAGAAGTTACAGTTGATTTGCTAGTCTATAGCCTGTTCTGAGTATCAGGAGTTTAGACGTACCAGTTGAGTTGCTAGTCTAGAGCCTGTTCCAAGATCAGGAGTTTAGAAGTAACAGTTGATTTGCTAGTCTAGAGCCTGTTCTGAGTATCAGGAGTTTAGAAGTAACA